GGTCAGAATAAAATAGTGTCAGATCACTCACTTTCTATGTAAAATATATTGGAAACTCAGTTACAATTAATTACAACAGTAATGGTATTTTTGGGCAACTCTTAATATTAGGGGTCATGGACCCACAAGTAACTCGAATTATAAATAATTTAGACATATTTTTTCACATATCTGAACGGATCAATCGGTAGATGTGGAATTAGTGAAGTTTCTTATTTTTTAAGAGTCCAAGCAGCAAAGTTGCCGAACAGAGGTGTCGGGTTTTTAAGGTTGGAATAACCTGTTCATAGCTACTGTTTATATCAACCTTGAAAAATTTGATTACATTTCTAGACTAGCATTGCTATATATGAGATCAAAACTTGCCAAACATTTTCTCCAGGTGGCTGGATATTTATTTTTGTTGGTTTATGCCAGACTGTGAAAATGCTTTGTTTCCGAGTATTAAATTTATACAAAGCAAAAATGTAAGTGTATGATTGTACTTCATTATTCCTAATGCATAAAAATTAATTTCATTTGCAATAAACTTTTGCCCAGTAGTCAATATTCTAATGTTTTACAATAGCCCTTAGAATTTTCAATCTTCTTTACTGAAAAATAAGTAGTAACCTGACAGCAATTTTGTGCCATTTGTGATTCAATGTTTGCAGACAAAAAAAATAACAACCTAGCACATGTTTCTGCAGTCCACCGTCAGCCGATGTTGACTCTTAAAGACCTAGTTTTAAACCTATCAAAATGGGGGTTATGGTTAGATTAATTTATTTGTGACCTGTTGCATTAAATAAAAAAAAAAAAGCTGGGGAAGTTATTTGCAAAACTAGAACATAAATAGGTTCATGAAACAAAACCCACTGTGTGAGGTTAGGGCTAGGCACAAACCAACCATGCTTCTTATGTACACTTGCTACACATAAAAAGTACTGTTATGCTGTTCACAACACCGGTATCTTGTGATGTAACAGGAAGTCAAATATACAGTACTTAGAGCTACAAATGTTTGCAAGTCAGTAAATATTTGTGTGTACTTTTTGTAAATGGTTAAATGAGAAATATCTGCACTAACTATCCAACATTTTGAACTGACAGATTAGAAGGAAGGCAGCTGGTTCCACCCGTAGCTCTAAAATATATAGTGCATTTTTCTTGGAAATTGGATGCAAACCACAGACCCTCGGCTGCATGGTGTGGCAAGCTCACACCACTAAGCAATACCAGGCTACCAAACAAATATTTCATTAGAATTTGCAGTGTCTTAAAATGTATAGGAACTCGCAGAAATAAAGGAAAAATACACATGCTTTGTTGCAAAGCTGCACTTGGTGAAATACACTACATACGAACACGTGTTTACGCAAGATATACCTTGAGCATTGTGCATCACAGTCATTTAATTTGTTGCTAAAAGTGGAAATGTAAAAAATTACAAACAAAGTGAACCATCACAGTTTGTACCATAATTTTTGGTGTGTCGTGTGCTGTGGAGCTGATCCGAGGAAGGTAATACCTCTCCACTACTTTGCTTTGGCATTGTGTAATTTCTTGAGAAAAGCAGGCAGTCGAAACATTTTTCCTTTGTGTACAGAGTTAGATGTCCAGCCTGCAAGAGGTTCTTCACTATTGTGTCTTTTTTGTATTCTTAGTGACTCAATTTCTGTGACTTGCTCTTGCATAATGAGTTTTTTTCTCTGTGATTCTCGTATTTTCCTGCTTTTGGACTTCAGCTTATTTCTGGAAGGTTTTTCCGGGGTTCTAGAATGTGACGCTATGGACCGTTTTAATGACCCCACAATGTTCACAACAGCTCTTGCTACGTCATCTGGAGTAGCCTCCTTATCAGAAAGTACCGTCCAGTCTGCCTCGGACACTGCTGGTGGGTTCTGGACAGAAACAAAGCTATATTTACATATACCCTCAATATTAAGAACTTTCTTTATATAAACATTGTCGGCCGTTAACAAGGTATTAACAGTACTAAATAACCCATAACTTAAATACAATAATTAAAATTCAATTATTTTATCTAGTTCACACCATTGATGGTCATTGTTCATGAAAGTTGACAATTTAAATAGCTCCTAGACCACAACTATGTTTGTCACATGCCTGATGATGCACCCTGGTATGGGGTGAAAGGCCTTGTCAGCATTGGAGATGGCAGATGTACCACGGTTGATAAAACGTTCTTCTTTACTTTTTAATAAACTAAACACTAATCCTTGTCATAACAGATTTTTAATTTGTTGACATCCATAATTATGTATTTGCCAATACAGAATTTAATATTCAAATGTCTGGCCTTACAAGAGGTATTATTTTGTAGTAGTATAAAAACTAAATTTGTGTTTTACCTCAAACAAATTCACTGGAACTCCAAACTGACCACCAGCTGCTCCACCCGTTGAAAAGACTGGTATAACAAAATGATCATTCCAGAGGAATTCTGTCACTATGTGAGCTGCATTTGGGCCTCCTGTAATAGAAGAAGTGAAAATTGAGCTGCCAGAACATAGTACACGCAACAAAAGACATTGGAGAATATACTACACAGAATAATTGATATAATGATGGACTGAAGCACTAACTAGCATTACCACTACTGCCGTTGGTTGCGTTTTTGCTATCAATGGAGAATTTGGTATCTCGACATGATGGTGGATATTAAAATAACATGTTTTATACAATGTAAGTCAAGGGACTAGATCCATGAACCTGGGTATTTTGTATAAAACAGTTTAAAAGATTTGATATTGTTGGTCCATTAGTAAACACATTGGCAAAAAATATACTCATTCTGATTCATTACAACCCAAGTCTTTCTGTATACACTCGAACTTAAGTGTTGAGAAAATAAATATTTTCTAGGCCTTAAATTGAGTACTTCCTGCTACTTGACATAAAATCTTCTACATGAAACTGAAGTATCACATGTACTAGAATCCATCCAATATACCTTCTACAACAATACAGGTATCCAGCATGCGGGCCACGGCTGTATCTCGCTCCTTCAGAGAATCGCCAAGAAACAAAGTTTTCCCGTACGGCACAGCATCAAAGCTACCATCGTAGTTCTGTCGAGCAGTGGGAGACACTTCCTGCCATGAAAGTAAAAACAAAACTTGAGTACAAGTTGTGGCCAAATTAAAAAGTCTCATTTAAATAAGTATCTACTAAATTCATCCTAAAACATTTTTAAAGGAAGAAATCATTGGATGTAATAGTTTCTTATGGTAACTTCTGATTACACAGATGAAATTCCATTAGACTTATGCATAAAAACTAGCCAAGTAGCAGCATAGTAGTTTTTAAAAGTTATGTTAAGTTGCATTCCCAGTAAAAACTTGAAATAAATTAGCAGATGGAGGATGACGTTGTAATGTCAAAACATGTAGAGTCGTCAATTTTTTGAAGGCTACAGATAGGCCTAAATAAAATGTTTTTAACTGTG